AGACCCATGAGGCTGGAGCCCAGCAGCCTCGTGCTTTGGGCTTTCTAAAGATCTTTGACAAAGTTCTGTGCAAGAGATGTCATTTCAAGAAGTGAGATGAAGTGTTTTCATAAATTGGAAACTGAGGGGTGAGAGACAGTAGAAAAAACTGGCCAATTATATCAATGAGTGAGTAACATGACAAAGTTATTAAATGAACAAAAAATGTAACTTCAAGTCAATAGAAAACATAGGGGTCTACAGAGGACAGGTCAAAGAGACCAGACCATCAGATACCATTTGAAATTTATTGTTGCTGAATCACAGAATCACAGAATGGCCAAGGTTGGAAGGGACCTCTGGAGATCATCTAGTCCAACCTCCCTGCTCAAGCAGGGTCCTCTAGAGCAGAGTCCTCTAGAGCCCAGGATCACATCCGGACGGGTTTTGAATATCTCCAGCAAAGGAGACTCCACCACCTCTCTGGGCAACCTGTTCCAATGCTCTGTCACCCTCACAGTGAAGAAGTTTTTTCTCAGGTTCAGACGGAACTTCCTGTGGTTGTTTGTGCCCGTTGCCTCTTGTCCTGTTGCTGGGCACCACGGAGAAGAGACTGGCCTCATCCTCTTGACACTCCCCCTTCACATACTTGTACATGTTGATGAGATCGCCTCTCAGTCTTCTCTTCTCCAGGCTGAACAGGCCCAGCTCTTGCAGTCTTTCTTCAGAGGAGAGGTGCTCCAGCCCTCTAATCATCTTGGTAGCCCTCCGCTGGACTCTCCCCAGGAGTGCCATGTCTCTCTCGTCCTGGGGAGCCCAGAAACCAGGGCTGAGGAGAGGGGCAGGATCACCTCCCTCGACCTGCTGGCCACACTGTGCCTCATGCACCCCAGGATACCTTTGGCCTTCTTGGCCACAAGGCCACACTGCTGCCTCATGTTTAACTTGTTGTCCACCAGCACTCCCAGGTCCTCCTCGGCAGAGCTGCTTGCCAGCAGGTCAACCCCCAGCCTGTACTGGTGCCTGGGGTGATTCCTGCCTAGGTGCAGGACCTTGCCCTTGCCTGTGTTGAACTTCATGAGGTTCTTCTCCGCCCAGCTCTCCAGCCTGTCCAGGTCCCTCGGAATGGCAGCACAGTCTTCT